TATTGTGTCTGCAGGACTCTTGGTATTGAAAATGGGCCATGTAGGTCCACGTTTCGGTATAGTCCGAATTTGAAGTTTGAAATGAATACTACAGCCTATGACAGAAAATTGTCTGTGCGGGTTCACGTCTTCGTATAGCCCCTATATAACGGTACCCCACGATATTCGGTATTTTGAAAAATTTGGTATTTAAAGTTCGTAATGGATACTACAGCCAAAGACACAAAAAAATCTGTGCAGGTCCACGTCTTCGTATGGCCCCCATATAACGGTACCTCTCGATATTCGGTATTTTAATGATTTCAGCGACATTATTCGCCGGAATTGTTTCAAATTTTAACGGATTTTATTGTTTTTGAGAATTGTCAAATTCGTTCCAAATAGTGGAGGGTATTCAAAGTTCGGCTCGACAGCTTTTTTACTTGTTTTTTTAAATTAGTAGATTTTAGTAAGCTTTTTTATACGACACCAATCGGAGGTTGTTTTGGTGTGTATTATTCAACAATTTTTACAAATTTCAATAATTTTTCACTTACAATTTTCAATTTCAAAATTGGTTTGACAGTTCATTGTTCCAGCAGCTGTGTTAATGCTACTACCCGCACTTTTCTACCATGGCACCAATATATGCTTATTTAAATATTTGAGCGTTCTTAAAATGGTATCTTATTAATCTAATGAGCTTTTAAGGAAAACTTCCACACTATTTTTTTTCTTTCTAAAGCAAATCTCATCATGAACATTAAAATCCGCAATTCACACTTTATTAGAATTTCATTTAATGTTCGAATTTGAATATTAAGAAAATAAAACAGAAAGATATTAGGAAAAAATCACCATTGCCATTTTGGGGGGAAATAAACTTAAACTTTTGCCAAATGTTTTCCAAATCGTTTATGTTTCAATGGCGGGTGTTCGTCGCTTAGTTTTTTCTGCAGAACATTAAAATGTCATTAAGATGCGATTGTGAAAAAAAAAAAAAAAAAAAAAAAAAAACAGAAATTGGCTGGCATTTTGATACTCGAAAGTGGGTCAAACATGGAAAACTGCAACGTAACTGTTTTTATTGTCTCCCCTTGGAGTTCATATCTTATCTAAAGTAATTTAGGATCTCTAAAAGGAAAATGATTTTCATACACCTTAAATTTGGAAAGTTTTAAGCAAAGCTTTTTGTTTTCTCCGCTTTTTTTGTAGCCTTGGTAACAAAATTATGTGTTTTTTGCTGTTGATAGTTGTCCTGATGCTACAGCTGGTGGCACTTAGTACATGCTTGAAACGGCCTTTTGTTGTTGATTTTCTTGTAGCGCGAACACATATTGTTTGAGCTGTGCGCGAGTGCATGTGTATGTGTGTTTAATGTTGAAATCATTTAAATGACAAAACAATAAGCTAGTGGTGCTACGAGAGCGGCCAGAACAATAAGCTTAATTTTTGTTTGTATAAAGCTTAATACAACAACAGCAATATCAACGCCAACATCCCAGCATCATGACCAACACAAACAGCCAGCCGCCAGAATTAAAAACATAAATATTCACTTTATTTTGCTTTCCTTGAAAAATTCGGAGTACGAGGAACTCGGAACTTTTGTGTGGCAAATAAACAACACCATACGTAACTTCCCTCTATCCACCCTTCGCTGTAAGCCTTTAATTTATAACATACTCGCCGTTGTTCTTATTATTTATTTAAATCATGTGAACAACAAATTAAACGCTTACTGTATATTTGGTTATTTAAAAAAAAGAGAAAACAACAAAGGCGCGGCATTGGCAGCCACGTCTGAGCCGGAAAACAAAAATAATTTTGTTGTTAAATGCACTTCAACTGTTTTCGCCGAAAACCCCAGTAGCGATAGCAACAACAATAACACAGCCACCACCACCACCACCATAATACGATTAATTTAATTAAACTTCTTAAAATGTTAATGAAACTCTGCCCACACATCCCGAAAAGTTCCACATTCAACAAAACAGTGAGTGTTTGGCTCTGCGGTTATTTTTACCACACACTCACACATATGTTTGTATTTGCTTGTGTGTGTGTGTGTTGGGGATGTCATTGTATTGTGACATGGTTAAATATTGCCAAAACAAGTCGTGATTTTAAAGTAATGACAACACCCCCGCATTGACATATTCAAATGAACTGAATATTATTTACATTTTTTGGTTTTAAGAGGAATAAACAACTGATGAAAAGTAGAGGCGCAAAATTAAAGCATACTTTTAGGAGTTTGGTTTAAAATGAGCTCAGTCAGGGAGAGGGACTCATTTATTTATCACTTTAGTTGATTCTAATACAATCAACGGGGATTAACGCCCAGACGAAGTAGGCTATGTGTTATAAGGCTGGGTGTTCGGAAATTCATACTAAAAAGGTACGACAAGCACTAAAATGTACAAAAAATAGATGTATTAAACCAACGAAATGAGCTAGAATTTGAATGAAATTTGGAATGAGAGCTACTGATGGAGTACAGAATGGTTGTACCAAAGGGTTTTTGGAAATTCGAACTCAAAGGTTACGAAAAGTTCCATAATGGTACCATTTCGTATTTTGTGAACGAATAGAATAAAAAACTTAAAAATTGGTATGAGAATCAAGGTTGGAAGGAAGTTTAGAATTTGGATGAAATTTGGAATGAGAGTTACAGATGGAGTGCAGGATGGATGTGCCAAAGGATTTTTGGAAATGTGAACTTTAAGGTTACAAAATGTTCCAAAATGGTACTAAACTTCTAGTTTTGTTGGGAAGGAAGTTTGACATATAAAGGTGGTAGCTTTGAAAATGTGTACTAAGTATCCGGACCATAGTACCAAAATTTGGAACAGTTTGGTTAAAGGTGAATGGGTAAAGCTGGAGTTTCGAAGTTTGGTATTGGGGTCTCTGTTGGTGGTAGTTTTGTGATAAATAGGTGGTTTTGGAAATGTGTACGAAAATTACTAATTAGTACAAAATTTGTTACCATTTGTTATTGGTAATGTGTACTAAATTTTCGACATGTACTAAATGGTTCTAAATTTGGAACATTTTGCTTCAGGCTCAACGGATTTTTTGTTTTTTTTATTGAGGGCTTTGTTGGTGGTAGGTTTGCGATAAAGAGGTAGTTTTGGAAATGTGTACGAAAATTACTAAATGGTACTATATTAAGTACCATTTGGTATTGAGTAAACATATAGTACTTGAAATTCGAAATGGGTCATTAGGGTTTCTGTTCATGTTTAACCTCGACATATGCAGGTGGTTTTGGAAATGTGTACTACAAGTGCACGAAAAGTACTAAATAGTACCAATCTTGGTACAATTTGGTATTGTTTGAACAGGTAGTGCCTGGAATCCGAAATTTAATATTGTAGTCTGGACATATAGAAGTGGTTCCGGAAATGTGTACTATAATTGTACGCAAAGTACTTAATGGTACTATATTTGGTACAATTTGGTATTGGGCGAATAGATAGTGCTTGAAATCAGAAATTTAATATTAATGCCGCTGTTATTTGTAGTAGTTTCGGAAATGTGTACTATAATTGTACGAAAAATACTGAATGGTACTAAATCTGGTATTAGATGAAGAGTGAAGGGATAGGACTCGAATCCTCAAATTTGACACTATTATTTGTGATCACTTTTTTAAGTATGATTTAATCGATATTTTAAAATGGCCATAACTCCTTAAATATTGAGGTTTGGCTGGTATCCTCAAGTTTGATACTGAGGCCTCTGTTGGTACATGGAATTGAGATATGGAGGTGGTTTTGGAAATGAGTGCTGTAATAGTACGAAAAGTACTAAATGTGGTATTGGGTGAAGGGATAGGACTGGAGTCCTAAAATTTGATTAGGTCTTTGTTGTTATATGAAGTTGAGAAAGGTGTCCGGTAATTGTACGAAAAGTACTAAATGGTACTTAATTTGGTATTTAGTGAAAGTATAGGGCTGGAATCCTCCAATAATGATATTAAAGTCACTTTTGGTATCTGGAATTGGGATATGGAGGTGGTTGTGGAAATGAGTCATACAAGTGTACGAAAAGTACTAAATGGAACTAAATTTTGAGCTGGGTGAAGGGATGGGCCTGGTATCTTCAAAGTATCTGGAATTGGGATATGGAGGGAGTTTTGGAAATCTGTGCTGTAATTTTACGAAAAGTACTAAATTGAACTAAATTTGGAGCTGGGTGAGGAAAAAGATTTGAAATTCAGAAATTTGATGTAGTTATCACTGTTGGTGTCTGTGCTTAAGATGATATCTGGTGGTGGTTTCGCAGATGTGTACTACAGTGGTTCGAAAAGTACTAAATGTACGAAAACCACTAATTTTGGATCACTGTTGGTGTTTAGAATGGAGATATGTAGATTGTTTTGAATATGCGTACTAAATGTCACTAAATTTTGTATTGCTTGAAGGGATAGAGTTCAAATTCTGAAATTTGATATTGAGGTCACTTTTGGTTTCTAGGGTTTACATGTGGAGAGGTTAAAATAGTTGTGGACAGAAAAATGAATGTGGACCCCTTTGGCAATAGTTTTAATAATATCTTCCTCTTTAAACCTCAAAATGTAAGATTTTGATGACTTTTTTGTGTAAAAAGTAAAAATGTTTTAATTATTTCTCCGAAAAAGGAAACATTTGGATAATATATTAAACCTTGAAAGGCTGACAATTTAATACGATGTATGAAGTTTTGATAAAAAAAAAGATGATCAATTTTCAAGTTGATTTTTTGCTGACGAAGTAGCGGAAACTTTTGTATAAGTGTTTTGAGTTTAGCAAATTATTTTCGAAAGCCATAGTAAATTTTCTAAATTCTATTAAAATTTCCCATAATTTGAATATATATTTTTTTGTCACGAAAATTTCAATACGACGTTTTTGTTGAAAAAAAAATTTGTTAGGATTGTAAAGATTAATAATAATTGTTGTTTTGAGAATTTTAGCCATTTCAAGGAATTTATGACAGTTTGACTGAATATATGTAAAGAATTTTAAACTTACCCAACAGTAACATCGAAAATATTACTACCCACAGAACTGGAAACAGCCATATCACCAAAACCTTTGCGCGCCACAATAACTGATGTTATCAGATCGGGAATGGATGTACCGGCGGCCAGGAAGGTTAGACCCATAACCTAAAATTATTGCAAAACAAAAAATTGAGGTGATATTAATTTATTGTTTATAATTTCCCAACACTTATTTCTAGATGCTCTTGGGGGATGATTAAAAAACCCACCCTCCCCAATCCAACAAACTTACCTCAGGTGGTATGCGTGCCGTATCACCGGCAACATTGGCCCACCATACCATCAGATACGAGAAGGCTGCTATCCACAGTATAGAGCCAATAAACGTAATGGGGAATAGCTTTTTACCTTTGGGGGTGCGCGTATCGGGCAAGGTTAGCCACATGGGTATCAAGAGTGGAGCTACCAAAATATAGGTTAAACGTTTACGGGCAGTATCTGGCCAGGCCATGCTCAGTGGCTCTGGTTCATCTTCGATTTCTTGGGTTTGCTATAATGTGTTCAAAAACATTTCGTTTGGTGGAAAGAGATTTTGAAAAATGGAAAACAAAATCAAATGTTAGCATACTTTTAGGGGCAGTACTTCTGTTTACATTATTCTTAGGGAAGAGGAAAAATTTTACAAAATCAAGGATAAATTACTATACAAAAGGGAAAGTATTATTAGTATTAATATGTTTTTTGTTGTAACTTATTGTTTCGTGTATTTTCTTTTTTTTGCAATAAGTATATTGTCTTTATATTTGGGAAATATCTTTAGCATTGTATAGTTTTTTTCTTTTTACATAAGTTTAGATAATTAAGTTATTAATTTTTTATTTGTTTTTTTTCTCTTATATATGTATGTATAGAAATTCATTATATATATTTATAAACAAGTTATAAAATGATTAATTTTTAGTAATGTGAGGTGAATGCTATGAGAAAAAATTTTCAAAAAAGATTTTGAAGTTTTTAAAAAAATGAGGTGCATTAAATTGAGAAAAATAAGGCAATTAAATAAAAAATTAAGAAAAAAATAAACGTTATAACATTTCAGTGAAAATCTGTGATAATGATTTGATGAAATGTCTTAAATGTGTTGAATAAAAAAGGTAAGCATACCGTAAGATAGTATTAAAAAATAAAGCATACTTTTGGGATTATGTAATTTTAAAGGCATAACAATAATAATTTAATAAACATGCTCTATATTATATGTGTTAATGTGAAAAAAGAAACATATTTAGTTTGCTTATATGTACATGGTTTCATAAATTGGTTTATGGCGCCCAACGAGTGGTCGTATCTTTATAATATATTAACTTTCAGACACCAATTGATTCAAAATAAATCAGTAGCATGCGTTTTAATTCTAAGGAAATGTAAAATGGCTCACGCTTTAATAAATTCCAAATTATTTTCATCTAGAAAATTACACTTTTTGGAGTACAGTGTTGGATGCCATCTTCGTTTCATATCTTAATCATTTATATACACTATTTTTATAGAATTTATGCTATATAATATATATATCCTCTCAAAAACAAATAAGGAAAGCGATTCTTTAATAAGGAAAATGGACACTAATACCCACATATTTACTTTTTTAGTCTGTGGATATTTTCTTAATTACCGCACAGGGTGAGATGAAGAAACTGCAAACCACTTTAGACTTCTGTCAGTACTAAGCCACTCGTCCGACAGCTGTTAAAATTATTCCAGTGACAGCTCATTATATTTCTTACAAGCGTACAGAAGCATTTTGGTGAGAATTTTTCGGAAAAAAATAAATTCGTGATGGAATTCAAGCGTGATAGTGTGATTCCTTTATATTTGGCTGGAAAGCCACAAGAGGCTATTGTTAGAGTATTCCAGCATTTAACTGTTAATAAATCTTTTGTGTCTCGTACCATTGCCGGGATACTGGTAGCGTAGCCCGACGTCAAGGAAGTGGAAGGACGAAAACAGCAACATCAGCAGAAATGGTTCGAAAAGTAAAGAAGCAACTTGATCGAAACCCGCGTCGGAGTGAGCGTAAAATGGCTCGTGAGCTGAACATATCGGAATATTCCATTTGGCAAATATTAAAAAATGAGCTCGGGATAAAGCCATTGAAATTCCAATAAGTTCAAAAACTTACACCGCAACAGAAAGAAAATAGACTCAAATAAGCTAATGAATTGCTTGGCTTGTCCGAAAGTAGTGAACTGCCGAATTTGGTTTTCTCCGATTAGAAAACATTCGTTGTTCAGCAGTTTGTAAACAAACGAAATTATCGAGTTTACTTAGTTTGGCCACCAGAACTCAAACGCCGGCTATGATGATGGTGTGGCCCGTCATAACAGCAGATGGTCGCTCTCTGCTCGTATTAATCGACCATGGTAGCAGAATAAATATCGAATATTATCGTGAAAATATTCTGGAGGGTGCATTAAAGCCTTGGGCACGCAAACATTTTTGCCGCAGCCTTGGACTTTCCACCAGGACTCAGCACCATCGCACTTAGCACGCGCCATCTAAGAATGGTTACAAAATGAGGTTCCTTTCTTCATTTCGAGCGCACAATGGCCACCGAAATCTACGGATACCAATCCGGAGTATTTTGGAAAGCAAGGTTGGCACTAAAAATACCAAAGTATCGATCACCGCAGAGCAACATTCGGGTAGCGTGTGACGGTATCATTGGCCGTTTGATGGCCATAATTCATACCAAAGGTGACCAATTCGAACAAATCTCTAAACTTACTCTAATATTTGATGCTATTTCCGACATTTTTTGGTTTCATTCAATAAAATTAAAAAAAAATCAAGGAAAAAAGTATCGGTCGGTTTTGCCGACATATGTATATCCTCAGCCAATGTTCGATTATTTAAAAATATTTTGACTTCTGTTATGATTATTCAAACGTTTAACCCCATATGCACTAGGTTCCGAAGGAATGGGCCAATATTGGCCATTTCGTATCGGACTTAAATAAATATGGTATAAATATTGCGACGTGCTAGGTTTGGACTGTGTTGTGTTAATGGAAATTTTTGGATGTACCAAGTCTTGAATAGAATCGGATGTCAATTTCGCTTTTTATGAGCTTCATGGATATTCACAATTTTGAGCCTTTGTGGGGGAGGTACCATAAGGAGTGGATCGATGTATCCCATCATCACAACGGATCTTTTGTTAGTGGAAATAATGGGATGTGTGAAATATAAAGAGGACCTGATGCTTGATGGAGTGGACCCATATTGTCTACTTTCACACCTGACCTAGTACTGACGCAAATATTAGGATTTGCAAAGTTGAAGCAAAATCGGATTATTGTTTCTCTTTCTGTGCAAAAAATATTTTTTGAAAATTTCGACCTTTTATGGGGGATGTACCAGAAGGAGTGGACCGATATTTTCCATCTTAACATCAGACCTTGGGTTAATATAAATATTGGGATGTGCAAAATTTCAAGACAATCGGACACTTACATCACATTTTATAACAGTTGTAATTATTCAATGTTTTGACCCTTTGTAGGGGAAGTACTTGATGGATTGGACCGACATTGTTTATTTTCGCACCTGACGTAGCACTGTGGCAAATATTGGGATATGCAAAGTTGGAGCAAAATCGGATTATCTTTTGCCCTTCTGTGCAGAAAATCTATTTTTTTTAAATTTCGATATTTTGTGTGGGAGGTACCAGAGGGAGTGGACGGATAAATTTTATTTTAACACCAAACCAAAATTATTGATGAGTGTAAAATTTGAAGACAATCGGACTCTTACATCACATTTTATAAGAGTTGTAATTATTCAAAATTTTGACCCTTTGTAAGGGAGGTACCTGATGGAGTGGATCGATATTATCCATTTTCCACCTGAAAATATTAGGATTCGCAAAGTTGGAGCAAAATCGGATTGTCATTTCTCTTTCTGTGCAGTAAAACATTTGTTTTTTGTTGAAAATGTCGATCTTTTTTGGAGTAGCTACCAGAATAAGTGAAACGATATTGCCATTCTCCGAACTCGATACAAGTTTGATAATAATATTACGATGTACCAAGTTTTGACCAAATCGGATACTCCCTTCGAGAGTTATCGTGCGCACCTTCCAGCCATACAGACAGACGGAGACACCAAATGTCCTGAAAAGGATTTGGAGGCACGTTTTGGCCATATCAAGTGACTTAAATGAAACATGACACAACAAACAGATACACAGCAGATTATCAAGACCAGTTGTTAACAAAAGATAAACAAATATTGAACAAAACATAAACAACTTTTGACATTTTGTCCAGTTTTGGACATCTGTTGGGGCACCATGTTATTACGCCATGTTCAAACGAACAAAATAACATTTTTTTAATACATCAACTAGATTCTCCATCCCGATCATTATATAAACTTTTGAAGAGAAATAAGTTTAGCCGCATATTCTACTGTCTGAGCTAATAAGATTCTTAAGAAACAGCTTTCTAGGCCGTAATAAATAAATGAGCTCTTAAATTTCTTTCCCATTCTTTTCAGACGAGGAAATTTATAACATTTAACATGACTTGTTGCTATTAATACATTAAATGGTCATAAATCACATTTAGTACAAACAAATACATGTACCTATACAGAATATTATTTTGGTATAAATAAATTAACCACATTTATAAAAAAAATATTTATAATTCAAATGATTACTTTGCGTTGCGGGTTATTGCAACTTATGGCAATTGTGAGTGGAGTGGATATTTGCCGAACAATATGTTGTCAAAATTAGGTTTGGCAATTTATGGAAAAAATATGTATGTTCGTTTTTAGTTCGTTTTTTTGTTATACAAATCTATTGTTAATAAATATAATGAATACAAATCACGAATGCTGATAGGTATTTTGGTTTCTGGTTATTTTTTTTTTTGCTTCCTCTCAAGGCTGTTGGAGGAACATTGTTAGGACATTATTGTGTCCATAAGTCAACCATGTCACGAATATGGCTGCCTAACCCAGCTACGAAAACAAGGTGGGCAGCAGGCAACCATTTAATCGCAACAACGAAAATCAAAAGCAAAAAAGAAAAAAAAAAACAGGATACACTAATAGTTTCATGGTATATTTAAATCATGGAGCAAAGATGGAAGGTAAAAAAAACGGTAGGAAAAAGAAACTAGATGACATCCTGTGGCATTTTTCCTTTGCTTGTAGCAAACGTGATCAATTTTTGGTCATAAGGCATCTCATCAATATTCTTAATGTTCATTTAAGCGGTAAAACCTTTGAAAATAGTTTTTTGCTTCCGCTCTAAATTGCGGTTTCGTGTCAATGGTGCCACGATGCAGTGGAATGAAGACGTGGCCAAAAAACTAGTTTCTAAGCATAGACAAACTATATAAATTATGGCATAAGAACTGGTATGAAGTTATAAGAAAGATAATGAAAAAAAAATCAAAGATATTAAATGTTTTTGCTTTAGACCCTACACCCCAAGGTGGTCGGGGTATTATGTCTTTGTGAATTTGCGTCTATCCATGTATTTTTGTAAAAAAAAGTAGAGGTTGCATTTATTGTCCCATCCAGATGAAATTTTACACAAGTCATTTGTTTGGCACAAGGACGAACCCTATTGAAATTGGAGATAATCGGTCAAAATTTAGATATAGCTTACATATAAAAATTCGTCCGATTTGCCATTTATTGTGCACCAAACATATAATAGGTGTGTCTGGTTACTTTTCCAGCAGGAATTGTCCAGCAACTTCTTTCTGAGAGAAAAGATAGTTTTATTCTCTTTTGCAAGGAAAATGCGAAAAGTAAACAGACGGTATTCCTGCTTGCAACTAATCAGCTGATTTGTCAAAACAAACCAATTTGTCCCCCATAAGGAGAATTAAAACAAAGGAAGCAATACTAATTTTACAGGTTTTTGAAATAAAAATGTTGGAAATAGTCTTTTATTTTCTTATTACATATTAACATTTATGTTTTTCACATTTTGTAAAGTTGTTCTCCAAAAACTATTAGTCTTGCTAATTCCAAAAAAATATTTTCAAATTGAAAGCACAAAAATAAATAAACAAACAATAGAAAACATCTGATTGAATGTCGATAAATGAGAAGAAGAAGAGTTGCAAGTGATTGCAAGAAGAAATTTGTCCAGCAAGAATTTGCAAACTCTCACTGAAAGAACTGTCAAGATTTCTCTCTCCAACAGCTCTCTTTTGCAGAACTTTTGGGTTAACAGACGACTTCCAGTACAAATTTGTAACGATTGTTACAAATTTTAGGGTAACCAGACACACCTAATATTAACCCAAATCCGATGGAATTTGGCACTTACGACCAAATTGAACCTAGAAAAAAGTATGTCAAATTTAGTAGAAATCGGTTCAGATATAGCTATAGCTCCCATATACAGGGTGAGATAAAAAAACTGCAACCAATTTTAGACTGCTGCCATATCTTAACCACTCGTCCGACAACTGTTAAAACTATTCCAGTGACAGTTAATTATAATACTTACAAGCGTACAAAATTATTTGGGTGAGAAATTTCCAGAAAAAAAGTTATTCGTGGTGGAATTCAAGCGTGATAGTGTGATTTCTCTATATTTGGCTGGAGAACCACAAGTGGCTATCGTAAGGCACTGCAGTATTTAAATGTGAATAAATCTTTTGTGGCTCGTAGCATCGCTCGTTACCGTGCTGCTGGTAGCGTAGCCCAACGTCAAGGGTGTGGACGGAAGAGAACAGCAACATCAGCAGAAATGGTTCGAAAAGTAAAGAAGCAAGCGTAGCAGTGGCATAAAAATGGTTCGTGAGCTTAACATATCGCAATATTCCATTCGGCAAATATTGAAAAATGAGCTCGGGGTAAAGCCATTGAAATTCCAAAAAGTGCAAGAACTTACACCGCAACAGAAAGAAAATAGACTCAAAAGAGCTAAAGAGTTCCTTCGCTTGGCTGAAAGGAGTGAACTGCCGAATTTGGTTTTCTCCGATGAGAAAACATTCGTTGTCCAGCAGTTTGTAAACAAACAAAATGATCATGTTTACTTGCCAAAGAGATCAGCTGAAAATGTGCACCTTCAGATGGCAATGAGAATTCAAGCGCCGGCTATGGTGATGGTGTGGGCCGCCATAACAGCCGATGGTCGCTCTCCACTCGTATTAATCGACCGTGGCATCAGAATAAATGTCGAATATTATCGCGAAAATATTTTGGAGGGTGTATCAAAGCCTTGGGTAAGCAAACATTTTGGCTGCAGACCTTGGACATTCCAACAGAACTCAGCACTATCGCACTCAGCAAGAATGGTTACAAAATCAGGTTCCTCGCTTCATTTCCAGCGCACAATGGTCACCAAAATCTCCGGATACCAATCCGTTGGACTATTGTGTCTGGAGTATTTTGGAAAGGAAGGTTGGCAGTAAAAAAATACCAAAGTGTCGATCACCTCAAGAAAGCGCTTCACCAGGAATGGGCAAAAATACCGCAGAGCAACATTCGGGCAGCGTGTGATGGTTTCATTGGCCGTTTGAAGGCCATAATTCGTGCCAAAGGTGACCAATTCGAACAAATCTAAACTTATTCTAAAATTTGGTGCCATTTCCGACATTTTTTGCTTTCATTCAATGATATTTAAAAAAATGTAAAAACTATGGCGTTGTAAATACGGCTTTCAGTTAGTTTGTAAAGACGGCCTTCTTGTCTTTAAAACTGCCTTCCTGTCACCCATAACCTATAAAAATCATTACCATAAAAATCATACAAAATATAAATTTAATAACCTTAACCATGGACAATACTGAATCCATCTTCCTCTGTATGTCTGTCCGTCTGCTACAATTTGTTTAAGAAAAATTTTAATTTTTTTTCGTTCTCTTGTTTGTCGTAATATTTCCTTGCGATTGATAAGTTCCCCAACGATAAAAACAAAAAGAAAACCTCCCAAGACCCTTTCAGTGAATAAATTATGCACAAAAAATAATGTAGGAAACCACATTTCTATAGCCTGGTAAAATCAACGGAAATACGTTAAAGGAAATACACATGTATACTGGCATATGTACATATGTATTGCTTATGCATATGTTGACGACAGTTTGGAGATTTAAAAGTATTTTGAAAATCCCCAACAGAAAGTACTCATACGACCCAAGTGGTGGTGGTGGTGGTGAATACATGAACTACATAACGAAGGATGAGACCCCGTATCAATAATGACAGTGATAATGACAACGACCATGGTGGCGGGGCTATGCCAATGACGCTGATGTTGACGACAATAATTATAATGATGAGGGAAATAAGGATTTGCGATAATGATGATTATCGTTGTCGTCATCATTGCCACAATCATGGTAATGAAAATTGTAATTATCATTGATGCAAAAATAACAACAACAACGACGGCGGCAGCAGCAGCGACGACGACAATCTTCAATAACACAAGGTAGTTTATGCTCTTCAAATCCACAACCAACCTTCCTCTTTCACATGAATGCATTCGCTTATTGTGGACTTAACCCACAACCGTAAGCCGATTAAAAGTTCCCAAACATATACACAGCTATACATATTTATTTCAATTTGATCCACGACGAAAAGAGGAGGAGGAGGAGGAGAAGGAGAAGAAGAGGGGGAGAAGACGTAAATCTAGTTTGAAATTTTCTGTTAGCATCAATTCAATTGATATCAAAATTCAATGTTATTATTTATTATTAATTGGAGGATATTGATGATGACGACAAAGAATAAGAGAGAGGGGGGGCAGGACGGGTGCAGGGGAAGTGAAGATATTTTAATTGATTTTATATTTAATTTGCAAGATTTTGTTTATTAATTATTCTGTGTAGGATTAGGGAGAGAAGAAAGCTTTTAGGGAATGCTATCCATTCAGAAAGAGAGAGAGAGAGAGAGAGAGAGAACATGTTAGGCTACCTCCCACATCTCTTTTTTCGGTGTATGAAAAAAAGAGATGTGGGATGTGTATCATTAGTAAACATTCACATAGCAAACACTATTTAATCACTTACTATTTTAAAGCAAATATTGGACGAAACTTACTTTGCGGATAAAATTGGAGATCAGACGTCTAGGCGAATTTTATTTTTGTAAATATATTAATAAGAATAAAGAGCAAACCCCTGTTTTGCAATAGAATTGAATTATAACCAGTATGGATCTCATTCATGGTAGAAGAATATAGGTAGACGCATTGACACAGCTGCTGGGACAATGAAATGTCAAACCAATTTTGGAATTGAAAATGAAAATTATTTAAATTTGTAAAAATTGATTAAAATCACGAATTATAATAACCTTCGAATGACGTCGTATAAAAAAAACATATAAAAATCTACTTGTATTTGAAAAAGCATTTAAATTTATTTTGCATATCAATGCTCCCAAGTATTGATGCATCTACCTGTATTCTTCTGCCATGATCTCATTACACTATACAGCCCTATTTCCATGAATAGCTATAATAAAAGATACTAATACCATGTTCTCATTGGCTTTTTAACTATATTGTTTACTCTCAAAATTGCGTTCACGGACTAATGCTTTCATAAGACACTATTTGTAGTTCATTGTAGCTTTGATTCTTAAATTTGAAAGAGATTTCAACAAAAATACATGAAATACGCACTGATTGCCTTTGTAGAACCTTTTGTCAAAACCCAATATATATGTTGCCTATCCGTACTTTTTAAGGATAAAACTAGTAAAAGAGAAAATTGCATCATTCACTTTGCACTGAAAATACGGGAAGGGATAAATAGTTAAGTGCATAAATTAGATAAGAATTCTTCAAAATTAAAATTTTGAAGCTGGCAACCATGCTACTATTTTTTACTTGGCCAAATTCATCTCGTATCAACTAAAATATTATCAATTGTTTTTGCCGGCAGATTTATACTGGGGGTGGGGCTTGAGTTATGGCTGGGGCCTTGGGTTATGATTATTCAAACTGTTGACCCTTTATGGGGGAGGTTCCGAGGCTGTTGTCCAATATTGACCAGGGGGTCAATTCTGGTTCTATGAAAATATGAAATGAAAAAATTATTTTGAATTTCGTTTTCATAACAACTTTTCATAATTCGTTTTCATAAAAACATATTTTCCGATTCTGATTCATTTTGTGAAAACAATGTTTCAATTCCGTGTCGCAATGAAACTTTTGTAACTATGTTATTGAAATAATTGTAAAGTTGACGTTCATATGTTAACAGGAAAAAAATAATATTGTCGTAAAATCAAACAATATACGATAAAAAATGTCAAGTTCCATTATATTATATTATATATCGCAAAGACATAGAATAGAACAAAGGTTAGTACAATTATCTAAAAAAGTTAACATGAAATAAATATAAAATTGTTTAGGAACTCGCTTCGAATTCTTAGACGCAGTGTTCGGGATCACCACAATCCATTTGAAATAGCCACAGAGGAGAGCTTTTTTGAGTTGTATAGGATGCCGAAGCATTTGTGTTTGGAACTCATCGAAGAATTGAAGCCATTTTTGCCGAAATCAAGAAGAGTCCATGCAATTCCATGCCATCTAATAGTACTAAGTTCATTACGTTTTTTTGCTACTGGTAGCTTTCAACGAAGTGTAGGACAAGATAATTTATCCGCTTTATCTCAAACATCCGTAAGCAGATGTGTAACTATGGTTGCTAAAGCTTTGAACAATATTTCACACAATTATATAATATTTCCCAAACAAGAAGATTTCCCAGGACTTAAAATAAAGTTTATGGAGAAATATCAATTTCCAGGGATTATAGGAGTAATTGACGGCACTCATATTAAAATATCTGCTCCAAGGCGTGAAATTGAGCATATATATTACTGTCGAAAAGGAGGACATTCAAAGAATGTGATGATTATATGCGATTCAAATTATATTATTTTGGCAGCTAACGCACGATTTGGTGGTACAGCACATGATTCTTATGTTTGGAGAAGTTCCCAAGCTTGCAGAAGACTGGAAGATTTATATACTGGAGGAGAACGTAATTATTGGCTTTTAGGAGATAGTGGTTACCCATTGCAGGTAAAATATACGAACGTATTATGTGTAGAGATAATAAAGTGTATTCGTTTAATTTACCAAATAGCCGTGGTTGATGACTCCTATACTTTCAACGTGCAATACATCCGAAGAGCGCTATAACATCGCGCACAAATCGACACGAGCTTTAGTAGAAAGATGTATTGGTATACTAAAATCAAGATTTCGATGCTTATCAAAAGAAAGGACACTTTACTATAGTCCACCAAAAGCAGGTCTGATAATAAACGCCTGTTTGGTCCTGCATAATTTTTTAGTTCGGAAAAAGATACCGCATCCGGAAATAATATCAGAGGAAATGAATGACAATGGGGAACAAACAAATGCGACTGCGGATATTTCATGCCGAAATATATCAAGTATTGCAAAAAGGCAACGTTCCGAGATAGTTGAAAACGTATTTGCTCAATAGATAAGAATAGATTGAAAAATCAATACAATCATTAAAAAAACAAGTGAAAAAGCAGTTGAATACCGTTCACCATTTGGAAAGAATTTAAAAATTCTCAAAAAAAAAAAAAACAAAAAACTAAATAAAAAGGCAAAATCCGTTACAAAATTTTTTAAAATCTTAAAAATACTATACGAAGACTTGGATCTAAAATTCTGTCTGTACCTATAACGAAGTGTGGGCTTTACCTATACGTGGGCCTACATAACAAATATTCAATATCAAAAGTCCTGCAGACCAAACACACATTTGAATAAAATTGTATCAATCTACTTCAATTCGTTTGGACGCTAGGGTGATTTCCACGGACAGACAACTTTTATCCACACCTTGCTGATTTGTGTCAAGCTCGTTTCCAAAACAGTTTAAGAATAATCGACATCATTTTTAGTAATGGCTAGAATTTATTTATTATTATGTCAGTAGCCATTATTATTACAAGGTAGAACTTGAATGACTTCCTGTATTTTTTTTAAAAAATCCACTTTTGCTTGTGTATCAGCCTTAATCGCTTCTGTTTGCTCCTTTATAGCTTCAATCTCCCTTTCCTTTAGAGTATTAGACTTTCTCATAGCTTCCACTTTCTCTTCTTCTATTTTAAACAATATTTCAAATTGTGATTCATCAGGATATAAAGCAACCTTCCGTTTTTCTTTCCTTGGTCTTTTTCCTCCCAATTTAATTGTAAATGTGGAATTTTCTCCAGTTTCAAGATCTTCATCCAACTCTACAATTTGGTCATCAAGTATCTCCACCATATCTTCCTGATAGCAAATATCTGATGAGTTATTTTCCACATGTACTCCGGGACTACATAGGAACCCCATCTCCTGAGTTTTATCCCCATCAACCGCTTCTATTTTGGTAATATTTATAATCCTCTGTTCTACTTCAGATAGTTGCTTGATTTTTTTTGGTCCATTAATTCCACTTTTTTGTTCGTCTCTTTTCATCAAAAGGTATTTGGAGCGTGTATGTTGCCTATACGAATGGAAAAAATTGCATAGATAAACGCATGTACAATGACAAACATTGGTTGGTATTAAAATACGTAAAAGCATATCGAGCGATTCCATTTCCATTCTCCGGATCGTTAGATCCATTCTCCCAATTTTGCTCCTCTACAAATAATAATACTTATAATATTCTTCCAAAAAATCTTACTACTATTTTTAATATTCTACAATTAAAATAAGTCATACCTCAAATCACTCCAATATTTTCTCCACTTGGCACCATCCTTCATAGTCCCTCCAATAGCATTCAAGCATTCCGCCAATTCCTTCCATTTTTCTTCTCTATATTTTGCACCATCAACAGTACAAAATCTTCAATATACGTATATTTTTATTTTGTAAAGAAACATGATTTTTTTGTAAAATTTTAAATTGTCTTACTTGTCATTCGCCAAATCGACGTTTTCCTCAAGGAAATTTATTAAAAATTCCTTTTGTTCTTCTGAGGCTCTTTTACCACGGACCGATTTTTCCATTTTCATAAAGAAAATTTGTATGAAAAAATATTTTTCAACTGAAAACTTTTTTGATTCAATTTTCATGATTGCATAGAATCGGAATAGCTTACTTTGTGAAAATGTGAAAACACTAGTTTCACTTTCTATCGTTCCTTTCATATGAAAACATTAAAACATATGTTTTTATGTTTTCATAGAACTCGAATCAGTATTTGTATGAAACGGTGAAAAAACTTTTCATTTTACGTTTTCATAGAACCAGAATTGACCCCCAGGACTGAAAAAAAATATTACAACGGGCCAAATATGGAATATACCGACTATTTCCTATACTTTATATGAAATATGTGCAAATATTTGGAAAATGTGGAAATATGCGCAAGGTAACACACATAGCGGACCGAAGTATTTCATTTTCGTACTTCATCAAATACATATAAAAATATTGGTATGTGCAAAATTTGAAAGAAATCGAACATCTATATCCAATTTTATGCGAAGTCATGAATTTCGATAAACCAGATATTCATAACAGATTTCTGATTGAGAGAAATATTTAGATATAGTAAGTTGTAAAGAATCCCCGACTTGTTTCGCAAGTTATGATATATATAAGTATTGGAAATTGTGACCCTTTATGGGTGAGGTACCAGGAGGGGTTGGCAGATATATATTATCTTCACAACAGATCTTACAGGTACAAAAGGAGTAGACCGATATATCCCAATTTCACCCCAGACCTTGAGTTTACAAAAATATTGTGATGTGTGTAATTTGAAGAGAACCGAATGCTTACTTCGGATTTTATGATCGTTTTGGTTATTCAAAACTTTGACCCTTTGTGGAGGAGGTACCAGAAGGAATGGTCTGATCTTATCACCTTTATAACAGATTTTGTGTTTATGGAAAATTTCCGAACTGAATCGGATGTTAATTTCGTGTTTTATGAGAGTCATGAATATTTAAAATGTTGACCCTTTGTGGGGGAGGTACCAGAAGTAGTAGACCGATATATTCCATCTTCACATCAGACCTTGGTTTAATAAAAATGTTGTGATGTGTGTTATATTGAAGACGATCGGACTCTTACATAACATTTTATAAGAGTTATAATTATTCAAAATATTGTCCCTTTGTGGGGGAGTTACTTGATGGAGTGGACCGATATTGTCCATCTCCGAACTCGATCTAAGTTTGATAACAATATTACGATGTACCAAGTTTGGATCAAACCGGATAATTCCTTCTAGATTTATCGCGCAAATCAGATAGACAGGCGGACGGACATAGCTAAATCGACTCCAAATGTCCTGAAACGGATTTGGACCTAGGGTCTAAAACCGTTGTTTCGATAAGGCACGTTTTGGCCGTATCAAATGATATATACGCTCTCTAGCCATATGGCTAAGGGTATAAAAAGTAGTAAAAGTTAACACCATATTTGTGGGTGCTCTCTTCATTTTGCCGGCAAGATGTTCACGTAAAAAATTGTGAAGGTAGTACAATATAGTACTATATTGCAGTTTCAGGAACACAACTATAGATGGGTAGGTATTTCCCTACATTAATTGCATTTGTTGTCTAGTTAGGTACTTTGACAAGTGTGTTGTGGTTTAGAACCTAAAGATGGTGGTAAGACTTTCCGTTAATTGGGCAAAATATAGGTTTGAATCCTAGCCGGGCTCATGCTGAAAATATTTTATCATATCCATTATGTTTGTCGTATTAGATACTAGAACTTTTCTCAGTAGCAGTATCATCGACTATGAGAGTGAGAGAGAGTGAAAGAGAGTTCGAATAGGAAATTCGTTAATTTAGAGCTTGACAAAAAAGGTTTTTTTCCGGAATCTGTTTTAAACCAAATGAAGTTCTAACAGAAGGCTTTTTGACATTTGACCACTCTTTATCGTTATGCTGAAAATTGAATTTCATTTTTCTTAAATTGAAAGAATTACCAATAATTCCCCCTTCCAATCCTCTTTTTTTGCGAACTTCTCCACTCAATTTATTCATTCCATTATTTAATTTTCATTAAAAAAATTAATTAACATTTATCAATTTCCTTTCTCGTACACACACACACACACACTCAAACATATGCATTGCACGTGTTTCCTTACACGTTTCGGCATAACATTTATCGTTTCCCATCTGTCGTTGCTTTTTGACGACAGAAGACGAATTCTTTATGTCCTCCGTTGGACGTTTTCTTTTCTTTGTTAAGCTTTTAATTTAATTTTTATTTTTTAAACAAACACAACGAAATGGACAGGAGATATAAAATATGTATGTACACATGTACAATGTACACACACACATGTGTGATGGACTTAATTTTGTAGAATAGGGTGGTTGGAAAAACTGCCACAAAGTCTAACGTCATAATTTTTACTTTTTTTTAAATTTTAGTGAATGAAAGCAAAAAATGTCGGAAATTGCATCGAATTTTAGAATGAGTTTAGATTTGTTCGAATTGGTCACTATTGGCATGAATTAAGGCCTTCAAATGGCCAATGAAACCGTCACACGCTGCCCGAATGTTGCTCTGTGGTATTTTGACCTATTCCCGGGTTATCGACACTCTGGTGTTTTTAGTGCCAATCTTGCTTTCCAAAGTACTCCAGACACAATAGTCCAACGGATTGGTATCCGGAGATTTTTGTGGCCATTGTGCCATGGAAATGAAGCGAGGAACCTCATTTTGTAACCATACTTGGATGGCGCGTGCTGAGTGCGATGGCTCGGCCAAAATGTTTGCGTTCATAAGGCTTTAATACGCCCTCCAGAATATTTTCACTATAATATTCGGCATTTATTCTGATGCCACGGTAGAATAATACGAGCAGAGAGCAACAATCGGCTGTTATGGCGGCCCACACCATTACCATGGCGCTTGAGTTCTGGTGGCCAACCGAAGGTGTACATTTTCAGCTGACCTCTTTGGCAAGTAAACACGATCATTTTGTTTGTTTACAAACTGCTGGCTAACGAATGTTTTATCAGTCGGACGAGTGGTTTAGAAATTACAGAAGTCTGAAATGTGTTGAAGTTTTTTTCACCTAACCCTGTATATCTTCTTTCAATTCCTCCCATGTTCTGCATTACACCCCAATATCCTCTGTCAAGAAAACAATAATGTGAATGCCATTAAGAGTTCGTGAGAGTGTTTGTGCTTGATTGCCAGATGTGCTAATATGTATTCTGAAAAGAATTTATCTTAAATTTAATATCAATCTCGACATCACATCGCACGTACATTCATTCAAGGAGATCGACAGACAGGATAGCTGACATGAAGGACAGACAAAACACTTTTTTTGTTTGCAATTCGTTTTCATCAAAAGAACTTGATAGATAGATTTCAACACATTGTCATTTTAAGAATGGACCATCCGCAGCAGCATGGTGACCCCTTTTACTTGTAAGAATCACATACCAACACACTTATATAATATATATGTAACTTTTATATTTTTATATACTATATATAAAAAAAAAACTCTATTGGTTTCCTGATATTTCATCAGCTTTATGCGGGTACTGATAGAAATAAATTCTGCACACAGTGGCATGCGGACAATATACTCATATTGGCCAGAGAGATGGGGAGCAAAGTAGAAATTGTCATCTTTGTAATTATTTTTGTGCAAAAAATAAAACGAAACGGAACGGAAGAGCAAAGAAATTGCAACTGATTGAATTGTGGAAAAGTAAAAACATTAAAAAGTGCTGCTGTTCTATCATAGATTTCTACAAAATGCCATCATAAAGTTGTACGAAAAGGCATTTGATTTCTGCTCTATTCTACATCTGATGGCATCTGCCACGGAAGAACTGCACACTCGCACATATATATACTTTAGAGTGCCTTGGCTGAAATTGATTTTCGTCGTTGTGATTGAAATTGTTTTCATGTTTGTCCGCAGCACGTTCTGCCTTTTGATTTCACCGAAAATAAAGAAAGAAAAAAATGGCTATGTGTAAACAAGCGTTTAGATGAAAACAAGTTTCATTTCCTTTTAATTTTCTTTGATTTAAACAAAAAACTAATTGTAGAGGTTGAAGGAGGGACAAGGTTTGAAACATACATCTCCAATTAATATTGACGATTAGACAAACCAGTAGTGAAATCCTGTTACTAGTTAACGACAAATATTGAAAGCTGTAAATTTTTATTTGCCTATAATTTTGGCAATTAAAGAAATTTATCTATAAGTTAGCGACGGATATAAAGCAGTTGCTAAGTCCTACCCATGGTAGAAGAATACAGGTAGATGCATCAGCATTTGTGACCGGCAATAATAGCGAACTTATAGATTATATTAATATCTAATGTTGTATACATGGCAGAAGAATACAGGTAGATGCATCAAAGCTTGGGGTCATTGATATTTTAAAAAATGTAAATAAATGTTTTTTCAAATAAAAATAGATTTTTAATTTTTTCTTATACGACGTCATTCGTAGGTTATTATATTTCGCGTTTTTTAAGAATTTTTACAAATTTAAATAATTTTTCATTCAACATTTTCAATTCCAAAATTGGTTTGACAGTTCTTTGTCCCGGCAGCTATGACGATGCGTCTACCTATATTATTCTACCATGGTTGTATGTATGCACCACTGAATTTTGAAGTATAGATGGCGTTTGTGTAGATTTAGATCGAATTTTATTAGAAATCGAAATTTTGCGACATTTTTACAAAATGACGCTAGCCTGTTTTCAAATAGTTAATTCAACGTGCACGATTCCAAAAAATTTAATTGCAATGAAAACAGTATTTAAATTGAAATATATATTGGGCGCCACCTATATTTTAATATAAATATTGTTTCACTGCAAATGAATTATTTGGAATGGGGGACTTTGAGTTAACTAAATGAAAATAGGCTAGCATCATTTTTATAAATGTCGCAAAATTTCGATTTCGAATAAAATTCGTTCTAAATTAAAGAAAACTGAAAAAAAATATTTAAAAAGTATTAACATGTTCAGAATCTAGAAATTAAATTAAAATATTGTATGGGGCGGAAACGTTCCACTGCGTACTTTGACAGAATAATATGAGATTGACCATCTACACGAAATAGAATACCTTAATATAAATAAAGAAATTAAAATAGGATTCCGGTCATTTTTACTTATTCAAAAATGTCTTGATATTTTGGCAATAAGACTACCATCGTTGCAAACGTTACTATCTGTTTTAAATTCGATCTAGATTTGCGTCAAAGGCCACTTAAATTTCAACTCTGTGCTGTTATTTCAGTGTTCTTTTTCAATAAATTGGGTCACTAAAATGCAATAAAAATTTTAAATATTGAAAACCCTTAAGTTTGTAAAATAAAATAATTAACACTTTATGGTGCACACTTTAGAGCGCTAATACGTGGAGTTTGGAATGCAGAAGTGCTATGGAAAGATATATAATATATATAAGTATAGGACATTTCATTGTTGCTTGGATTCAATAGATGGCATTGATAGTGGAAAAATATGTTATGTCACCATATCGTGGCATAGGATTATTTTAAAATCTAATAGAGCTAACACAATTATATGCATTTCGTTGATTTTTATCGATTTAATGTACAAGAAAATGCTCTGAAATAGATTTTAGAGACCATGTCCATCACATCAAATAATGTTTCTTTTGCCATGTCGCCTGCCATCTATTGCCTGATCGAAACATTAAAAGACAATACGCATTTTGTCAAATGTTTAATAAAACATTAGATGGCTTTCATTAAACAAAGTGAAAAAAGGATCCTTGTCTACATCTGCTGTGAAGACAAGACATTAATACTTTTGCAATAAAATTGCTTTTGCGTACAATTTCGACTTTTGAGATATTCGTTCAAGATATGTACGAAACGCCATCTTTATCCTAATTACAGGATTGTTGATTCAGTAGCTTTTAGCGACAAAATATTTAAGTGTTAGAAGCCAAAATATATTTTAATATTTATTAATATCTTTCTACTCATGGGAAAATTCGATTATGAGAAAATTAATTTTAGATGATTACGTGACGTCAACTACATTTCAGACATGAAACTAGGGTTTCCAGAGCTTGTAAAAGCTTTACGTTAAAGATTTTAAATACCATGAAATATTACAACTTTAATTACCAAAATTAGTTGTAAGATACCTTCTGATTTTCTTATATGGAATTTGATCCGGTATGAGTATAAAAGCCACCTATATTTCAATTAAAATATTGGAACTTACAGACGAATTTTAGTTCATACTTTAGCCATAGATGGTAGGTAGGTAGTCGCATCGCCATAGCTGCTGGGACAATGAAGTGTCAAACCAATTTTGAAGTTGAAAGTGTGAATGAAAAATTATTCAAATTCGTTTAAAATGTTGAAAAATGCATATCACAACAAACTCCGATTGGCGTCGTATAAGAAAACATAAAAAACCTATTTATTTTTTGAAGACAAAAAAAAAAAACAGTTAAAAGGTATCAGTTGGTTTTGCCGACAGATGTATACCCTTAGCCAATGTTCGATTATTTAAATATATTTTGACTTCTCTTATGATTATTCAAATTTTGTACCCTTTAGGTTCTTCCCTCACTTTATATGAGATATATAATCGTTTTTAGAAAAATTTCAAATGCACGTGATATATATTAGATATTGTCGACCGAAGTTTTTCATTTTCATACTTCATCTAATACAGATACAAATATAGGTGTGGGCAAAATTACAAGAAAATCGAACATTTATATCTAATTTTATGCGAAATCATAAATTCCATATTCATCTCAGGTTTCTGGTTGGGAGAAATATTTAGGCATAACAAATTGTAAAGAATGGCTGATTTGTTTCGCAAGTTATGACAGATAAAAGTATTGACCCTTTGTGGGTCAGACACCAGAAGGGGTTTACACATAAAAATCATCTTCACAACAGATCTTGTGTTAGCAAAAAAGTTGTGTGTGTGTGAAATTTGAAGAGAGTTAGATGCTTATTTCGCTTTCTTTGAGCCTTTAGTTTTTCAAAATCCTGAACCCTATTTGGGGGAGGTATCAGAAGAAATGACAATATCTATACCATCTTTACAACAGATCTTGTCCTGATGGAAATATCGAGATGTACCAAGTTTGACTGGAATTGGATGTTAATTTCGCATTTTATGAGTTTCATGAATATTCAAAACTTTGAGCCTTTGTGAGGGAGGTACAAGAAGGAGTGGGCCGATATATACCATCTTCACAACAGATATTGTGTTAGTAGAAATAATGGGATGTATAAAATATGAAGAAACCCGCAAGTTTATTTAGGATTTTTAACCATTTTAGTTATTTAAAAATTTGAACCTTTGTGGGGGGAGATACCAGATGGAATGGCCCGATTTATACCATCTTTATAACATATCTTGTGTTGATAGAAATATTAGGATGTGCCAAATCTGATTGAAATTGGTTATTCAAAATTTTGACATTTTGGGGGAAGGATAGTTCATCTTCACACCAGACCTTGGGTTAATAAAAATGTTGTGATGTGTGTAATTTGAAGACAATCGGTCTCTTACATCATATATCTCTTATAATTATAGAAAATGTTGACCCTTTTGTGGGGGATGCACTTGATGAAGTAGACCTATACTGTCCATCTTCTCACCTGACCTAACACTGATGCAAATATTAGGATTCACAGTGTTTCCAAGCTTTAATGCATCTACCTGTACTCTTCTACCATAAATATTCCTCGCAAAATAGTTTTCAACGATTTCATAAAAAAATAATTTTTAAACTATTTCTGATTATATTTTATGATAAAAAATATATAAATTCAGTGCATTTATTTATTTTAATTATTTTGTCCATCTAAGACTTTAACCTTGACTATCTATTTTAAAAAAACAAAATATTATAAAAGATGATCTATACTGTTTGCCAGAGCATTGATTTATGGAAAATTTCTTATGACGAGTAGATAACGCCATCTATATTTCATATATATTAACTATAAATAAAATATTATTAACAATAAATAAAAGACTTTACATATGTAAAATATGAAATATTTTTCCTGAAATAGAAGCAGCAATAGTCGATTATACGATTTCGGTAAACTCCATTGATTATGGTAGTAGAAACGTCTCATCCGTCGTTTCATTTCCACTTTATTCCGTATTTTTTTAAAATAAATTTTTTGTTAATTTTATAAATTAAGGTTATGGAAACACCAAAAGAGTGTAACATTTCCACTTCATTCCGAAAACCGCTGTTTTTTTTAAATATTTAATGAAAACATATATGGTGGTTCAATTCCATTTCGTTTCTATTTTTTACATAGCACAATTTGTTGATTATACCTATGTAAAATATAGAATAACGTTCCCAAAGCAGTCGATTATAGAATTTATTATGGTATTAGGCTCGTCAAATGCATCTTTTCATTTCCATTTTGTTACGTATATGCTAATTGTGTACTTTCATAATTCGTATCATAAATTCTGCCGTTTAACAAAAAAAATTTTTTGGACTTTATAAATTATGGTTGTGGAAACACCAAAAGCGTGTTTCATTTCCACTTCATTCCCAAAACCCTTTGATGTTTCAAAATACTTAATGAAAACATATATAGTGTTTCAATTCCATTTTGTTTCCATTATTTATATAGCATAATTTGTAGATTATATATCATTTGAGAAATAGTTTTCCTTTGATATGTTTCTTTTTTCACATATTGAATATAATTTCATTACAAATAAAGGCATGCAATTTAGACAAATGTGTATTTACAAAGTTTCTACGAATTTTGTTTTAACAAATTATAACAACATTTAAAGCCACGGCAATTATTTGCTACTTTGTTTTTTTTTTATTGGTTTAGTTTGAGTGCCAATACATTTACAAATTTGATTTTAGATTATGCTAAAAATGACAACATGGAGAAATTTTCAACTAAAAAACCAAAGAAGAAAAGAAAAACACAACAAAGGTGGGCAAATCCAGGGCATTACTTGGCCTTTCAAGAGCCCCGATTTGTAGGAAATACAACATCAAAAACTTGAGATGTGTTGAGAGTGGAATTCAGATGATTTTGAAATTAGGAAGGAAGAAAAATAAAAATAATAATGGCTAAATAACATTAAGAGAATAAAAGTTGGCTTGGCTAAGAAATCAAAAAAGCTTTGGCTAAGAGAGCAAAATATCAGTTTCGTTTTGGTTTCTATACAAAATGTTGTTGTTAACAAATTCTGGTGGGATTGAATTTGTTAAGAATTGTATTTTGTTTTTGGTTTTGCTTGGCTTAGGAATTAAGCAGTCAATCAATCAAAAATAATTAGTTGTTTTTTTTTTGTTTTTATAAAATTTATAATAATGGCAAAATTAGGTTACAAGAAACAAAACTGGTAAAAGCTAAAAATTGTTAAGTAAAAAGTAAATTGAAAAGTAATAATAAAATGTGAAACTAACTTTGATGCTAAATTTTCGCGTTTGAATTTTGACCCTTTGATCTATCCAGCTCGCACGACGACCACTTAACGATGGCTTTAAATTTGTTCATTTTTTTATTTTTTGGTTTGGCAAAAAATTCAACAAATTTTGGTTTGATTTTCGGTTTCGGTTTGTCAGAGAAGAGTTGTGGAGTAGATTATTTGTTTTTTTTTTCGAACGTGTAGAAGAAGAAAAATATTTGGATATTTTAAACAAGTTGAAGAATAATATTTTGTAATATTTTTATCATAATTATTATTATAATTGTTTGTTTTAAATATTATTTAAAATTGTTTTCATATTTTTTAATAATAAAAGAAATAAAATAGGAAATAGAAGGGGTTTTGTTGTTGTAAAAAGAAGATAGATAGAGAGCGAGAGTAGCGGGGGGAAGAAAAAAGAAATTTTTCATTGTAGAGGAAATTTTTTTACGAATTTCGTAAGAGAAAAATTTTTGCCGAATTTTGTTGTTAAACACAGAGAGACCAATTAAAGCGGGAGACAGACAGAGGTAGAGGTAGGCCCAACTCGGAAACGTATTGAAAATGGCGTAACCAAAATTTCAATTTTCTTTTATTGTTTAATGAAGAAAATAAAAATAAAAAAAATAATAATTTCGTGTTTTCTTTTTTGCTTTGTCAGTTTAAAATTTTGAAATAACTCTATTGTACATATAAACATTAACAATAAACTACATTAGAAAAACCGAAAACAGAAGCATTGTTGATGTTTTTTGAGAATACTCTTTTTTTGGGACCAATCAAAGTGAATAAAGCTTTCCAGTCATTTTTGGTACGTTTTTTTTTTAATGGCATACAAACATATACACAGATGCACTCCAAACTATTAGTTTTTATTTATGTAATTCAGGTGGAAATTGCATTTGCAAAATTTATTTTGGTTTTTTTTTTTGATAAAAAAAATATTTGAAAAATAAAACAATTAACCAGAATTGTTGAGTATGAAAATGAGTTACCAAATGTATGACGACGTCATGAAGGTTGAAAATCACTATAAAATTGCATAAAAACAGTAGAAATATTGAATGTATTCGAAATGGTTCATATTTTCGTGTGAAATATCTTAAAATTTACACAAAATGGATCCCTACGTTTGCTCTGTAACAATTCATTACACTTTTTGTTGATTATTGTTGACATATTTTATTAAAAAGTTTAAAATAACATAACGTATTGTTCTATTAATACATATATGTTTATGAGAAAAAGCGCTGCAATAGCAACATTCTGTTGATGGCAATTATCAACGGCGTCATGATTTGGTCGGCCGCCATTGAATTCATTCTCTCTTTTCTTTGAGTATTCATTTCATTTGTGGAGAGGAAACAAGGAGACAACTATAACTAAAATGAAATCGTTTGTGTGAATATCAAGCTGTTGATAAAATAAGTGAGTTAAAATCAAAATAGAGGTAAAATTGAATATTTAGAACTTATCATTGCATCCAGCAAAACATCAATTGACACTTGTAAAAAGCGAAATGAGGAGAAAGTGAATCGGAACACCAAAGCAGAACATTAATCGACACTTCCAAAAAGCGAAATGAGTCGCTTTCCAAAGTCCTCAATCTATCGCACTTTAGTTCACTTAGCAACAGGTTTTGATTGATACTTAGAACTTCATCTGAATTAAACCAGCCAATCTGAGAGTGCGTGCATGAGCGTAATTGAAAATTCACCATCAAAAAAATGCTGACGAAAAGAGATAAAAGAGAATACGCGTATAAAAGGTTCCGCAAACGTACATTTTTGGCTAGTTTTTCATCTATGATACAGAGATGACATTTGATTTTGCCGATCACACCTCAATAGGATGATAAAACACCACGTTTGAAAAGTTGGGCTGTTGGTACGTAACTTAACGAACAAATTATTTGTAAGTATTACTTCACTTGGTGCTAAGAACAAAAATGTAATATAAACTTAAATAAATATTTTACAACTTCTGTTTTCGTTGCCAGATTTAATAAAAATATCCCTGAAGAATTTGGAAAATCCCAACGAAACGTCGGATGAAAAATTAAATGAATAGTTTTTATTATCATTAAATAAAACCCAGACCTAAAAGCCCAATAAGACAGAGTCTTAGATGATTCCTAAAACATAAAGAGGTCGAAAACATAATTCGTTAAACTAATCGTATGCGAGGAATAAGTAATAACTTATATGATACGAAATCAACGGACATACTCCCTGTCAAGTGAACTTCGGAGATGAAAATGCCACTAAATGTGCAAATCGATGGGCAAAGAATTTCGACCACTTATAACACTAACAATTCTAGGGCTAATATTAGAGATTATGAGCATATCACTGAAACTACAGCTATTACGGATAAACTGAAATGTAAGCACAGGGTTATTCATGTCTGGGGTCCACAAAAGGAGACGTCAGGAACCTCTTGTCATGTGCAAAGTCGGGGATAAAGAGTGTTTCTGTCTAACAACATTATCATATATTATTGCGGTATTAATCAAAACCTTCATATTAAGGACACAACTATCTGTACTAGACTTTTTTTTGGCTATATGGCGAGTCTGGTAAGAATATCTAGAAAAGTAATTATGAAGTTTTATCAAGAATCTCCCTTTAGTAATAAATCACAAGATCAAATTATATGCGAATTACCGAAAAATAAGCTGGTCACAGCATGCTGATATCAGTAAAGTTCCGTTTTTAGTTGTTTTCTATTTCTATATAGTTTAGACGTTCTCGCAAAAATAAATTTGTTTTATTTTTGTCGTACATATGGACGTAAATTGAAGGCCAAAATGGCTTCTCGAAAAGAAATTTCTATTGATATTAAAAATTTAGTCGTCAAACTAAGTAATGAATATAATTCGTTTGGAGACATTTTCCAACTATTAAATTATAGCAAATCAACCATGAAAGCTGGAAAAATAAAAACTGCAAAAATAGGAAGGCAACACAAGATAGTCCAAAAAAGTTAAATGATAGGGATATACAGTTTATTTTTAAAGAAATGCGTGAAAATCCCCGAATTCATGCCAAAACACTGTTCGAAAAATTACCTCCTGCATCTACAAAATGTTGTCTATCCCTGGACTATGCGAAGGACTCTGAATAACAACGGATATCACAGTAGAATTTCACTCAGAAAACCATTCAAAAAAATGGGGTCGTACGTAGACTTTTCGATGTCATTACGTTGTGTACGCTTATATTTAATTAACCTTTAACTTCTGAGGTGACATATTTTATAACGTGGTGGTAAATTTTACCCCTCTAAATATTACAGGAAAAAAACTGTTAAAAATTTTATTTGATAATAATTTGTTTTTTAAAAGTAAGCTTGTATATTTTAAAATACAATAAGTAAAAAAAACAATTTTTTATGTAAACAAAATTTTCATTCATTGTAATAGAATAGAGAATTTCAAGAAAATGTGAAGGGAGGGTAAAATGTACCACCACCTCAGAAGTTAAAGGTTAAAATCTTACAGTTATTTTTTATCTCAAACATTTTTTTTAATATTTCGTTTCTCGTAAAAAATAATTGATTCTCAAGAACCAAAATTATTTTTAATTTACTTGAATATAATTTGATGTTTCAGAAATACAATTTTCTTTTGTTTATCCTGTTTTAATGCAATTTTATGTCATGATTGAATGAAATATTTTTCGAAACGGGTTTTTTATGAAATGTTTAAAAAATATTTCTAAAGAAAGAAATAGAAAACTAAAAAATATGTAACATATTTTATTTTGCAGAAATATATGTTTGTTGTTGTTGTTGATTTTGTAACCCAAAGATAGACAAAGCAAGTAATTGACCAATTATTACACAATCAGAAGTTAAAGTTGAAACTAAAGAAAAAAATAACAAACGTTCCGAATTAGGTCTATATTTTGTAGTAGTTTTCGTTTCTAATGAAGAATACAGAGAGAAGTAGAAAGTAGGCAGAAAGATGGAAATTAAAAAAAAGTATTTTTAAATGAATGTGGATGGAGGATGGTAGGATGGACTATTTATTTATAAACCCAAGAAGATATTGAAATAAATACTGAAACATAAAAGTGTTGACAGTCACAGTGACAAATAGAAGTAGATGTGTGTTTAGAGTGGAGTGTGAATATGACAAGAAAATAGAGATAGGATTGAAGATATTTGTGTATACAGGCAAATGGGGGAGATATTTTGAAATTTATTTTTGAACTGGGAACACATTTTCGTTCGCCCATTTGACTGTATATCTTATAGTTTAAAAATAGTTTTAGTTTTATCAAACAATTTATTGAAATTGTTTAGACAAAGTTCTTATGGTTAAATAGGTTTATAAAGGACATAAACATACATCATAGTTATGGAAATAGATATTGAAAATAGAATTTAAAATCGAAGTTTAGAGTTGTAGTTTTGGAAAAGTAGTCACACATAATCGTTGCATTGGAAAATGATAATAACAATAACATATATTTTTGGTTCTTTCTTTTGGGAAAAATTTCTATCAACCAAAGGGAAATTAAACTGAAAACAAAATGAAAGGAGCACACACACATAAATATTGAAAATTAATTTTCCAAACAAAAATATTAACACCGAAATGCACACAAAGTCATTGGAATGATGATTTAATTGGGGGATAATAAATGAGTGGAAATCTGAATGGCAAAAACTAAAAGGGGGAATTAAAATGTTGAGCTTAAATTTTATTAAAATTTAATGTTAATATAAAATATTAATAGCTGAAAAAATTTAACGTTTTTATAAAATTTTATTTAAATCTCTCTTAAAGAAACCCTAGGTAATAGATTCCCGGCTAGAGTGCTACAATTTAGTAGAAATAAGTCTATTTCAAATGGAAACGGGAAGTATGTAGATAATGGGGAAAATCTTTAAGTCTCCTAAATATTGTGACCCTAATTTCAAAGTTTTAGTTCGTCTGTGTTTCAGGAAATTAACTTAAGGCGTTTGCTTTGCCTATAAACGATTTTTTAATTATTCTATTTGCTATAGGATAGCTCAATGTTATAGAAGAGCTTTAGATATTCCAAATGCTATTGCAGAGCTTTAGACATCTTATTCACTACAATAGAGCTTAAAGTCGTTTATCTACATTATATGCTATGGAAGAGCTTTTGGGTCATCTATTTGCTATCGAAAAGCTTTTGGGTCATCTGTTTGCTATAGAAAAGCTTTGGGGTCTTATTTTTTCTATAGAAAAGCCGTAGGTCTGGTAGAAGAGCTTTAGGTCTTCTATTTCCTATAGAAGAGCTTTAGGTCTTCTATGTGCCATAGAAGAGCTTTAGGACTTCTATGTGCCATAGAAGAGCTTTAAATCTTCTATGTGCCATAGAAGTGCTTTTGGTCTTTTATTTGCCATAGAAGAACCATAGGTCTCCTATTTGCCATAGAAGAGCTTTAGTTCTTCTATATGCTATAGAAGAGCTTTAGGTCTTTTATATGCTATTGAAGAGTTTTAGGTCTTCTATGTGCCATAGAAGAGCTTTAAATCTTCTATGTGCCATAGAAGTGCTTTTGGTCTTTTATTTGCCATAGAAGAACCATAGGTCTTCTATTTGCCATAGAAGAGCTTTAGTTCTTCTATATGCTATAGAAGAGCTTTAGGTCTTTTATATGCTATAGAAGAGCTTTAGGTCCTCTATATGCTATAGAAGAGCTTTAGGTCTTCTATACCCTATAGAAGAGCTTTAGGTCTTCTATACCCTATAGAAGAGCTTTAGGTCTTCTATACCCTATAGAAGAGCTTTAGGTCTTCTCTATGCTATAGAAGAGCTTTAGGACTTCTAATTGCTATAGAAGAGCTTTGGGTCTTGTATTTGCTACATTATAGCTTTAGGTCTTCTATTTGCTATAGGAAAGCTTTTAGTCTTCTATATACCATAGAAGAACTTTAGGTCTTCTTTATGCTATAGAAGAGCTTTAGGTCTTCTTTATGATATAGAAAAGCTTTAGGTATTTAACTTAACTTTCACGATTATTCTATCCTTCATTTTTTCATTTTGTCCCATTAAATCACATATTTTTTGTAGCCTCATTAATTTTCATTCCTTTGATTTCAAATTCCAATGACTATTTGTTTTTTGGCGACGTCGTGTCAATTTGAATATTATTTGCATTGGTATTTGAAACAGCCAGCCTGGAACTTTTCAATTTTGCAATCGAACTCTTCTTAATTATGCGAATAATCAATAAAAACACAAAAACAATTTTTTCCTTCGATGCGACTGTGGCAAAATAATTTCGATGGCAATAGGCGACCGAAATGCAAATAGCAATTAACGTAATTGAATTTACATGCTGCAGTGGTTTCGATAACAAAAAATCACAAATACACGTGCAATTGCAATGATCCTGATGGTTGGTTGGATGGTTTGTTGGTTGCTGGGTGGCCATCGTAACCAGAATGAGATATGGTGGGACACCAATTTTGGTTTATCTAAATATCTTTCTAATGCATGCACACACACGTACATATTGCATTGCATGTGTCTGTGTGCAAATATTACAAAATACATATTTGAGTTAGAATTTATTATTTATGGCGTAAATGATTAGAGGCTAAAATTTCACCACACACATCGAGCGGGAAAGAGAGAGAGAGAAACTATTTTTAATGTCAATTAAACAGCAATGCCCACCAATGTAAATGCCATAAATCTAGATGACATATTAAACATATGCCAAAAGGTGTCACGATCTATTTGTTTTGCAGTGCGTGAAATTGTGTTCAGCTTTTGTTTTAATATATTTTTTTTTTAATTTAAAATTTTATCCTTGAATGTCCTTTTATTCGCAATACCCTCTATCTATTATAGAGTGCTGCGAATGAATGTTGAATCTGAATTTCCATTTCATTTGTTGTGTTATTATTTTTCTCTCATATATTCAGAGATGCCATATCGGAGAGTTTTTACACAATATTTGAATAGAAAAGACACTCGTACAAAATGAATATTAAAGCGAATATTAATTGGAAAATCTTATATTTTCGCTTTTTATCTTCTATAAGTAGGAGAAAAAAGTTATTCAATATTCGTGGACAAAAATTGAGAGGAAAACTTCTTCACTTCCAATCTGTTTCAAGAAGTTACCCTAAAGACCCTCATTCTCTGTTTTGAAAAATAAATGTTTAGGTTTATCTGGAACATTGCAAACCTAGAGCTTTTTTACTATCGAAATTCCTTAAATCATTTTTTAAAATTTTAATAAATGTATGAGAATTTTTTTTAATTTGGAAAGAAAATCCAAGATGGCAACGCTGCAATCGCTCGAAAATTAAATATTGGACATTTTCCATAAAAGGCAACAGAAATATTAAAATCATTTGTTTTAATGCCCATCGAAGGATATGAAATAATAATTTATTTCTCTTCATCAAGGTGAAGGAAGAAATAAACAATAATAAAATTGAGGGGGAGAAAATAATTGGGTCACATTGTGTCCGAAAACGTGAATGAGGAAAGTAATAAACATTGCAGCGAGGACTGATAAATCAAGAACAAATTGAAGATTTCATTTAATATTAATTTTCTTACATTGGTTAATGAACAAAACTTCGACGATTTTATCTTGCAAACTTAATACAGACTTCAATCAATTTTGGGTATGATTTAGGAATTAGTTTATGTAGTGAAACAATTAAAAATATTTCCTTTATATGTTTGCATAGAAATAGAAAAACTACGAGAAATTGATTTTTTCTAGGATTACCACAAACCATGATGGATACAAGTAGTTGCATAAGGATTTGCGTTTTTTTTAATGGGCTGACTATTTATTGGAATACAAATACACTGAAAGGATGCCAATCAAACTCTGAATAGAAAAAAATGGAAAATTGTAATCGTATTTTAAATTAACAAAATATTAATATTTCCGGTAGAAATTGTCAAAGCAACTTCTTTCTGAGAGAGAAAGAGGTATTTTTATTCTCTTTTACGAGAAACGGATTTTCTGTAAAAACTTGCAAGCAATCAGCTGATTTGCCCAAACAAAACTACGCCATCCAAAGTAACAATGCAGGTTAAAACGTTGTGTTTTATCCAAAAAAAAAAAAAATAAATAAAACAGCAGCTAAGTTCGGTCGGATCCAACTTTTAACACCCTCCACCATTTTTAAGGAAGTTGAAAAATGTCCAAAAAATTCTGTCGAATAATGCCGCTGAAAGGGCTATACGTCATACACTGTAGTAAAAATTACGAACTTCAAATGCGAAATTTGAAAAAAAAATTCCGGTGAATAATGCCGCGAATCCCATTAGGATTAGGATCAGGTATCGTTATATGGGGCCTATACGAAGACGTGGTCCTTTTTCGACTGGCTTGATTCATTGGCTGGCTTCTTCGTAAAATAACAAAAGAGCGTAAGCCCGAAATTGAACTCAGTCAATCTAAAACTTCTTTCTTCTTTTACAAAGAAGCCAGCTGGTGACTTCAGCTAGTTAATAAAGCCTTTTTTGTATTCTCACCTTAATATTGAAGTTTTTAAATAATATTGTATATTATCATGGTTCTGACGGTCGGACGAGGCTAAATCGTCTTAGAATTTTACGTTGATCAAGAAAAAAATTCTTTGTTAGGTCTAAAATTATTATTTCGATGACTTACAAACGGATTGACGAACTTAATATACCCTCCATACTATGTGTGGTGGAGGGTATAAAAACGCCTTTGTGGAAACATTTATGACTTTGGAGTGTACCGCAGTAATAAGGTAAAAATTCAGTGATGCTTTCCTTGTAACACCTTACTTTTATGCTTTTGAAATGATGCCTTCTTAAACGTCTTCTTAGCAAAATAGCATCAATCTTCTTTATTTCTATAGGAAGTTAGTGTTTTCCATAGACAGACGGGCTTACCAAAATCGATACAGAATTTTATGCTGATATAAAAACTAAAGCTTTTCAAGAATGACGATAAAAAAATCTTTCAGACTGCTGTCATTTCTAAGCCACTCATCCGACAGCTGTTAAAATCATTCCAGTGACAGCTCATTATATGGTTTACAAGTTATTCGCGATGGAATTCAAGCGTGATAGTGTGATTCCTCCATCGCTGGTAGCGTAGCCCGACGTCAAGGAAGTGGACGAAAAAAAATAGCAACATCAGCAGAAATGCTTCGAAAAGAAAAGAAGCGACTGGATCGAAACCCGCGTCGCAGTGGTCAAAAATGGTTCGTGAGCTGAACATATCGCAATATTCCAAATATTGAGAAAAGACGTCGGGGTAAAGCCATTGAAATTCCAAAAAGACTCAAAAGAGCTAAAGAGTTGCTTCGCTTGATCGAAAGTGGTGAACTGACGAATTTGGGTTTCTCCGTTGTCCAGCAGTTTGTAAACAAACAAAATGATCGTGTTTACTTGCCAAAGAGGTCAGCTGAAAATGTGCACCTTCGGGTCGCCACCATAATTCAAGCGCCGGCCATGGTGATGGTGTGGGCATGGTAACAGACGATGGTCACTCTTCGCTCGTATTAATATACCGTGGCATCAGAATAAATGCCGAATATTATAGCGAAAATCTTCTGGAGGGTGTATAAAAGCCTTGGGCACACAAACATTTTGGCCGCAGACCTTGGACATTCTAACTAGACTCAGCACCATCGCACTCAGCACGCACCACCCAAGAATGGTTGCAAAATGAGGTTCCTCGCTTCATTTCCAGCGCACAATGGCCACCAAAATCTCCGGATACCAATCCGTTGGACTAGTGTGTCTGGAGTGTTTTGGAAAGCAATGTTGACACTTCAAAAATACCAAAGTGCCGATCACCTCAAGCAAGCGTTTCGCCGGGAATGGGCCAAAATACCGCAGAGCAACGTTCGGCCAGCGTGTGACGGTTTCATTGGCCCTTTGAAGGCCATAATTCGTTCCAAAGGTGACCAATTCGAACAAATCTAAACTTATTCTAAAATTTTTTGATATTTCCCACTTTTTTTTCATTCATTCAATGAAATTTAAAAAAAAAAATTGTAAAAATTAAGGCGTTTTTTATCTCACCCTGTATACCCTCTCTAGCCATATCTCTGAAGGTTTAAAAATATTGTCCCCTCAAAAGGATTACAAACTTTCTGGACAACAAAAAGGAAACTTCTGAAGAAATGCTGAAGATTCCATTTCCCACCGAGTTTCTAACTCGATGGTCCAGGACGCTATTAAGGGTTTTTTTTTAACCCGTTAAAGCTATGGAGCGGAATTATACTATGATTTAAAACGAAATTCCAAACGAGTTATTAAAATTCAAACAACATACATACTTTAATGGTCATTGGAAACCACTCTAACCCAGGAGAGACCCAGGGTTGGACCCAGGGTTGGGTCTCTTTATAGAAAACCTAGAGACCTAGAGAAAATATAGACGAAAAAATTCCCACCGCTTATCATCGATAAAAATAGAATCAGCAGATATCGTCTGTATCGCTTCAGGGGTATGAGAACTGTTGTTGCGACATCTGTTAGCAACCAATATTTAAAAATTCCAACACATCCCTACAGAATAAAGAGGACAATCCACACAAGGAAGAGAATAGTCGATATCTCCCATTTAAGGATACCTCCCGATATTCGGTAATTTGATGATTTTAGCCAAATTTTCAATGGAATTGTCTTAAAATTCAAATTTCGTATTTGAAATTCGAAATCGCAACTACAGCCTACAAAAACAAATTATGCATTATAATTACAATACATTGTAAAACCTAGATTTTTTAAGGTATAAATGACCTGCAGCTCTTCTATAAAACGGTAATAATATTAAAAACCTTAAGACTTTGTACTGTAGAGAATCCCCTAATATATTTCAAAATTGTATACAACCTCAAGCTCTTCTATGACATCAAAATAAAAAAATACATAAGCTCGCATAAACAACATATAAAGACGAAATACGCCTTCAATATATGACGTCATCTAGATCTCCTGTCTTTTCTCATAACATTATAAATTAACTTCAATTAAAGCTTCCTGTAAACAACTTCCGGTTCCTGCACTTAAAATTAATTTCATTTTCTCATTTTTTTTAAATTTAATAAAATTAATTAAAATCTAGGATTATATGATTAAACTAAAAAAAGGAAAAAAAAAAATGAAAAATATAAAAATACGAATTTTTTTGGTAAAAACAAAATGCAGTTGATATTGTGTGACGATTTGAAGAGATTTTAATGATTTTGTTTGAAATAATGTTTTTAGTTTAAATCAATTCCCTAGTTAATTTAAAAAGTAAAGGCCAAAACTAAATGAAAAATGGGAGCACAATTTATTAATTTCTTTACTTCTAAGATCGTGATCCCATTTTGTTGTTTATTTAACTCCTAAAATTATGCTATATATTTTAAATTTAAAACTATTAACTATTTTAATTTGAATTAAAAATAAAATTGAAAATTCCTGTACTCACCGAATCCAAGGTTGTATCAATATTGCCATTTGGACGATCCGCCAGAGTTGTTTCCTTCAAATTGATTTTCACATGATTGGCAGCCGATGTTGTGGCACCACCCCGTTGTGGTTTGGTTGCATCCAGCAGCACTTTGAGGGAGGCAATGGCATGCAGTTGGGTCGCCTTTTCGTCCACCTTGCCTGGAACATCATCTTTGTCATTTTCATGGTTGTGTTTTGAGAACAAGGATGTTTGATTTTGGATTTTTTTTTTTGAATTTTAGTTTCAGTGTTTTGAGAGGCATTTAACGTTTATTTTTTTGCATTTTGCAATTTTTTTTGAGTTTAAATTTCAAATAGGTGGGGTGGGGATTAAGAAAATATGTTTTCGAAAAATGAAAACAAATGTTTGTTTGGTTGCACAGTGAGGCAAACAAGTAATTGAATTGAGATTTTATCACACACAGAGAAAGAGAGGCATTCGTTTTTGATTGAATTTTAAATTGGATTTTGAGTTTGGAATTGGAAAAAAATTTGAAAATTTAAGTTAAGAAAATGGAAAATCCACATAGTTTGGTTTTTGGTTGGTTTTTTTTGAGATTTCGATACATTTATAAAAATCATACATTAAAAAATAGAAGAAGAAAAAAAGAAAAAAGAATTTTTCATCGATTAAAAATCGAATAAAACAAATTTCGTTTGATTTTTTGTTTTCATTAATTTTTATATTCAATAGTTTTTGTTATGGCAAATAAAAAAATATTTTTTGTTAATAATTTATTTTAGTTATATTTTTTTTCAAAATAATTTCTTTTTTTAATATAAATAATTTTTGTGTTATATAATTAATCAGTTATGGAGAAACAGGATACACAGATAGAGAGTAAGAGAGAAACAAATAGAACTACTTAGAGAGGGGAAAGGGTGGGAAAATAAAAAAGATCTCAGAGAGTAGATAAGGACACAGACTAAGATTGGAGAGAGAGAGTCCTCTAGAGAGACTAATGCTAAGGGGGCGTAAGGAGCTTGCTAAAAAGGCTTGGGCAAGAAAAGAGAAGCTTAAGGGGGGAGGAAAACAGTTAAGTATTGCTGGACTGAGGAGGCAGGGGGGATTAAAGAACACAGCCAAACATTTACATCAATATCAAATAAATATATTTTATTTAAATGTTTTTTTTTTTTAAATATAGAAAAATAAGTTGGTAGCAAAATTCGTCTTTCTTTCGCTGGCTTTTGTTTTGCAAAGACTAGAAAAATTAAGAAAACACAAATTAAGAACACTACTGATATAAGTATAGGTTCCACTACATATATTTACCACGCCACGGCCAAAAAGATTTTTGAGTAGTAATGGTTTGGTATTGGAATTTGAGTTTGATTAGTTTTCAATTTTTTTATTTGTTTGTTTTTTTTTTTTTTGCAATTGTGGTGGTAGTGGTGGTATAACAGAGAGATAGCAATAGGCGTAGGTTTATTTTTTTGGGGTGGTGGGAGAGAGGTAACAGAGAGTTGAAAATGTTATGTTGTAGCTGCATTTGTTGCTGTTGTTGTAGGTGGTGGTAGGTAAGTAGTCTACTTGAAAGCGTTTCATTTTGGTATTTGAAATGTATTGCATATTTTTGGGGGTACATTTTGGGAATCATTTTCTTTGGGGATTTTTTGGTGTTATTTGAATGGTTTTTTTTTCTATACAAAAGCCAAAAAGCAGCTAAATTTTGGGACATACACCATAAACCATATACATTTGTTTACACAAACAAAAAGAAGACATTTTCATTTGCGGAATTTTTTTTAAAACTAGTGTTGACTAGACTATATAGCTGTGTTTTCTGTTCTTTACACTGTTTTTATTTAAAGCTCAGTTTCTAGTGCTAGATTTGGTGTTTAAACTAAAATCTAAATATTGTTTCATGGGATGGGGAGAAGATACGTTTGGGGATTTCAAATTTTCCACATAGGAAAAAAGGTCAATGGTTTTGAAGGGAATTTCTTTGAACCCTATGGGACAAATAATCTGACACCTATAATTTTCTCACATTTCACATTTTTTACAATATGATTTTGTTACATAAAATTTTGTATTTTTTTTTGTATATACGATTAAATACATTAAAGCATTAACACAATAACCATAATGTATAATAACAACAATAAACAAAAACAATGCAGAAAAATATTAACAACATGCCAATTAAAATTTTTAAAAATTCAAACTCAAAAAATACACAAACACACGTTTTCTTTATTTTTGTCGAAAAGCAAGTTGGATTGTTTTTACATATGGCGGAATGAATCATTTAAGGCCCGTTTAGACGTGATATAAGAGTCATATGTAAAGTGCCTAAAATTATGCTATAAAAATCCTATACTTAATTAATGAAAAATTAACTTTACATATGACTCTAACATCATGTGTAATCTAGCCTTTAGTAATTATTTATGCGATTAAATAATTAAAAGTATATTTGTTTTTTTATTTTTTATTGTCATATAAGTCTCTAAAATCAATATAAAATGGTGTTTCTCTCAATATTTTACATAATAATATAGATAGATCTACTTGATGATATGGAGTACACTTTTCTTGTTTTCCGCTAGTTGTGATACCTATTGGCCAAATGGCTCGTTTCATTGCAACATATAAAAAAATAAACGAGCTGATATTAGTTTGTTTATCGCAACCGTTTGGCCTACAAAGGTTATGCTGGGTCAGATGAAATAACTGCAACCAACTTCAGACTGCTGTCATTTCTAAGCCACTCGTCCGACAGCTGTTAAAATTATTGACATTGACATCTTATTATATTGTTTACAAGCGTACAACAGCATTTTGGTGAGAATTTTCCAGAAAAGAAATTATATTCAAGCGGAATAGTGTGATTTCTTTACATTTGGCTCGAAAATCAGAAGTGGCTATCGTTAGAGCACTCCAGCATTACATTACATGTAGATTACTTTATGCCACTAAATTGTGCTTCATTGCAAAAACGAATTTCAACCATGTTCCTTCTTGGATGAGATTCACATCAGAATAATTTTAGAAGATCCGATAATGTCCATCTGACCGACAGGCCTAAAGGAGCGTGACACAGATTTAGTCCAAACTTGACACATCGTAATATTTTAATCAAACTAATATTGAATCTGAAGATAGGATAAGAAAATTATGAGTATAGCTACGACGTAATTAGTGTGTTATCTTTAGCCATTTCAGTATTCTGGCTAACTGAAGCATTGCTGCTGGGTCCACATTCAGAGGAGGACAAGTCGTGCAGAATTTGCTTACCCAGTAGCTTCTGTCTGACTCGAAAGAGAGTTGGACAGTAGCAGAGTAAGTGTTCTACCGTCTCGGTTTCATCCTCGTCCTGACAGAGCCTGCAGTATTCGGTGTCATCGACCCCCACCCCCCCCCCCCCCCTTTGAAGTCATGGCCCTTATGTTACAATGTCCCGTAATTAGACCCACCATAAGCTTTAGGTCACATTTCGCCAATACATCTCCTTCCAGTCAGCCAATTCTGAGAGAATTCCCCAAGGTAGTGCTTATGCAATACTTGGAAGAAGTGGCATAATTGATGCTTCACTGAGCTGTCGATCTCTAGACTCAGATCCGCGTCTGGCTAATTCATCTACTGATTCATTGCCAGATATGTAAACACGGCCAGGGACCCAACAACGTTTTACCAGCGAATTAAACTTCTCTAGAGCATTTCTGCATTCCAGAACAACCATAGATTTGATTGTAAAAGAATTAAGAGCCTTCAAGGCCGCCAGACTATCGACATATATAGTCACCGGTCTATTAAACTCATCATTCTTTTTTCCAACAGTTTCCTGGTAGCAAAGATTTCTGCCTGAAAAACGCTGTAGTCGTTGTTTAATTTAAAGGATCTCTAGATATTCAAGCATTCACAAAAGACCCCAGCCCCGTTTCACTTTCCATTTATGAACCATCGGTATAGACGGCTATACCGTTAAAAGGTGGTGTTTTCGGAGTCCAGGTGTCCCTTTTTCATATATGGATGTCCAGTGATTCGAAACTTTGTCTAGGTGATATGTAATCACTGGTTATAGCTTGACCTCCCATGTTCTCCACATAATTAAGAATGGCAGAGTGCCCAAAGTACTTACACCGACATTGGCCTATTTCATTGAGCCACAGGGCACATCTAGCAGCATATTCCTCTACAAAGAGACTTAAAGGCTTTAAGTTGAGTAGGATGTCGAGTGCAAATTGGGGCGTACTCTTAAACGCACCCGTAATAAGTAATTATGCTGCTCTTGGGACTTTATCATTGCTTTTGTTGAAGGTAGTCTTACCTAGAGATTGCCCCTCTGCCCTGAGATAGCCCTCCATAAGTTAAAATTCGTCGAACTATTGATTCATATATCCATTTGATTATATATGGTGTAAGTCGCCAGCCCTGGCCTATGGAGTTTCTGCAAGAATAGAGTGTGTTTAAGCACCTCTTCGTTCGCTCCTCGATATTCCTTTTCTAAGTACTTAGCTTCCGTTGGTAGTCTTAACCTAAGTCCATCCAGCATAGGTAGTGACAAAATCTGGGATTTCCCGCTTCCTTGTAAAAAGTATGAGCTCAGTTTTAGATGGGCCTAACCTGCTGCGAACGTGGTCTTAAATATTCAATGTTCTGCCACCGCAGCTAGAACCCACTATGAACTACATATGCTTTTAGGTACATTTGGTTGTTGGTCGGCGGCAAAATGTAAACAGCGGCTTTGTGAAACTACTTGTAATTCTGGATCGTTTATTACAAAAAACCAGTGATGCATTCCGTTTGTATTTCGATTCCAAGCCGGATGTAGGATAAGATAACTCAACTGTGATTGAATAAGTAGCATGTAATTAACTTCACACATTTGTATGCAATCGAATTGCAATGTCGCTCTGGTTTTCAAACTAAATAATTTATATATCAATAATTAATTAATATCCCATTCTTAATTACTTATTTCCCCCAGCATTGGTGGATCTTGTAACATATCAAATTCAATTAGGATAACCTTCCATTTCATCACCCCTTCATCTTCTTGCCAGATTTTATGGAATTTATTTTTGGCTAAAGTTCAAAAGGCAAAATAACCGTATATCTGTTGTAAGTTCGCCACATATATATTTTTTCTCGTTTTCTCTCTATTATTTGTCCTTGAAATTGTGTGTTTCCATAATCCTTGAATATTTTCGAGTAAGTGGTG